ATTCAGTCTTTGTTCTTTCACTGTTATGTTACTTTGTTAATTCATTAATTTCAACAATTTTTGAATTAACGAGAACAATAGTTTTGACTAATAATTAATGTAAAATTTCATTATACAACAATATAATATTTTTAATTGTAAAATCAAAAAGATAAATTGAAATATTGTCACCATTTGATACTTTGGATCACATATAAAATATTGTATGACATAATTTTGATAATTATTTATATTTCTATTTATATTTTTCTATTTATAATTTTATTTTTATATATAATTTACCAAAATTCTAATTAATTCTTTTTAATATTGCATCATTTATTTTATCATAATATTATTAGATTTAAATTCATTCTATTTTAAATTAATTTTGTTTAATATTAATTAATATAGCACTAATGTCACTCTAATTTAAATTGTATTACTTAGATTAAATTAGTATTACACTTACTATTTCTTGGTATTATACTTCTTTCAAATTAATCTTTAAGTAATGTTATTTATCATGTAAATCTGTATTTATTTATATGTATTTAAATAGATGTAATTTAATATAGAAAAAATAATTCAGAAGTAATTCTTAAGTAATTAACTAATAATTAAGAAATAATTTTGAAAGTAATCAAATAATAAAAATACAAAAGTTAACTAATACTTTTAAATAATCTTTTATTTATTATTATTTTTAATTTATTATTTACTTAACTTTAATTTATCCAATTAGTAAAGTCATTTTTTGTATTTTAATAAATTATTCATTTTTTTAAATTATAAAATACTTATTCAACTTAGTAAAAGTATTAGAATCTATTTTTTTTATACTTTCTTCCAATCATCTAGTATCCAACTCTCTCAAGTATATATAGTTACTATTATTATTTTTATATAATTTTTAATTAAATATTATAATTAGATCTATCAATATAAAAATAATAACAATATTAATTCTAGTTAATTTAATTATTTTAATTTTTGTATTAAATTAATATATTAATTTAATTTAATATTTTTTAATAACAAATACTTTTTATATTATTTAAATAATTATAATTTTTAAAAAAACTCATATGATAAATAAATAAATAAAGATGTTAATATAAATTAATCAATATTATTTTTTTTATTTTCAAATAAGATTTTTTATTTAATTAAAATATTTAATTTTATATTACTTAAGATCAAGTCTTATCTTTTTTCTTCTAAAATATTAGTTAATAAATATTATTATTCTAATAATAATAAAGATTTTTAATTTTTATCAAAATAATATTTTTGTATTTTTCAAAATTAATAAATACAAAAAATATAATACAAATTTTTCTTTTTATACAAAAATTTTTAATTTTATTAATAAAATTTTTTTATATATGATAAAAATCAAAAATAATGAAATAACAAAAAAATTATAATAAAAATATGAAAAATATGAATTTTTTTCTTTATATAAAAGTTTTTAATTTTATTAATAAATATTTTTTATTTTTATATTAACTAAAAATAATATTATATATTTTTCAGATTTAATTTTATATAAAATTAAATCTGAAAAATCTGAAAAAATATATATTAAATTATATAATATTATTTTCATTTTAATATAAAATTAAAAATATTAATTAATAAAATTAAAAACTTTTATATTAAGAAAATATTTATATTTTTCATATTTTTATTATAATTTTTTTGCTATTATATTATTTTTAATTATTATTATATTTTTTTAGATTTAATTTGAAAAAGAATTTTAAAAAACTTTCTCAATTAAATATAAAAACATATATTAAAATATAATTTATTGTTTAAAATTTAAAATTTTTATATATAAAAAAAATTTTATTGTATTATATTTTATTAATATATATATAATATTATTTTTATTTTGATATAAAAATAAAAAAATCTTATTTTTTGCATTTTTATTATATTATCAATAAATTATTTAAGTCTTTAAAAATTGAAATAATTATTAATAAAGTAAAAATAAAACTTTTTATATTCAAACTATTTAAATCAATAAAAAAATTATTAATAGAAAATATTTTAATAATTTTTTTATTGTTATTATATATTAAAAAATATAATAAAAATTAAAATTTTTACTTTAATAATAAATAATTATTTATATTTTAATATAAATTTTTTAGAATTGATTTTAAAATTATTATTTATATTTTAATATAAATTTTTTAGAGTTGATTTCAAAATTATTATAATAAAATATATAATAGCAATCAAAAATAATGTAATAGCATTAAAATTTATAATAAAATATAAGTTTTTTTTATATAAAAATTTTTAATTTTACTAATAAATATTTTTTATTTTTATATTTTAATATATATTTTTTAGATTTAATTTAATCAAGTTATTTTAATTGCATATAAAGTCAATAATTTTTTATAATTAAAATATATAAAAAAATTATTAATTTATATGTAATTAAAATAATTTTATTAGATTAAATCTAAAAAATTTGAAAAAAATATATTATTATAATTCAATATTTTTTGTATTTAATTTTATTCTATATATTATTATATTATTATTTAAACTAATATTATTAAATAATTATATTAATAATTAGTGCTTGAAATTTAATTTAAATTTCAGTTTGAATTTTGATTTGAATTTCTATTCAAATTTCTATTTAAATTTTGATTTAAAATTTAATTTAATTTATTATTTTATTGAATATTTAGTTTTTATAATTTATTTATAAAAATAGCATGTATTTTAGCATAAAAAAAGTCAATTAAATTTAGATTAATCAAGTTGAACTCATTTTTTATAATATATTTCTTTCTTACTTTAGCTTTCATAATCTTTTATCTTAATTATAAAGTTATTATTATTATTTAATTTATAATCTTTTGTTATTATTATTATACTTCTTATAATATTTGTAATTAATTTCTCATCTACATTAGTGAAGTTAATAAGTATTTAATTGAATTAATAAAAAAAATTATATTTGACTTGTTTATAAATCAATTATTAAAAGAATATAATTATTTTTGAATATTTCTGGTTTCATTTTAGCTAATTAACAAATAAATATATATTACTTACTTTTAAATAACTTAGTAAACTCTTTCACTTTAAAGTTATTTATTGAAACTCTTTTGTCTGACTTTATTTCATATGTTTTACTATACTCTCTTATATAATAAAGCTTAAAATCATACAAAATGATAATGATATATTAAAATATATGATATTATCTTTATTTTAATATCAAAATAAAAAATATTTATTAGTAAAATTGAGAAATTTTATATAAAGAGAAAAATACATATTTTACTGTTTTATTAATAAATTTTGATGCTGTTGCATTATTTTTGATTGTCATTATAATTATAAAATATAAATTTATCAATTTTAATTATCAAAAAATTATTATAATTACTTTGAAAGCAGAATATTCTTCAAATTAAATTATATGTTAAGATATAGATTATTATCTTTATTTAGTATAAAAACAAAAAATATTTAATAAAATAAAAAATATACCAGACTAGTGTCACGTGAAAGTGGACATCAGTGTAATAATGATGAAAATCTTTAATGTTAAACCAGCGAAACTTAACTGACAAGCCTGTGGTTTTTAATACATTTTGACAATTCCCTTTGGGGAGAGTCTAAACATTTACAACTATGAGCTCACTATCAGATAATACTTCCTTTTCAAGCAGCTCAACACCCTCCACCTCATTCTTAGCAACCAATTCGCATCGAGAATCACTAATTTTCGATGACTCGTCGAGCCTTCAACAACTCGAGTGTCCTATATGCAACGAGACAATGATTTCTCTACGCCAGCTCAACCAACATCTCGACGACCTCCACGGCGACACGTCCGTCGACCAGAAAGACGGAATACTGAACTGGTTCAAAAATGCACAGAGCACCATTGGAAAACAACTCTCGAAAACGACTCCGCTTGCGAAAAATAAACTATCGAGCATCTCGAAGGATTTGTCGCAGACAGTAATCAGCAAGTTTAGTGAACTTGATGTTGGGGCTGTGCTTGACGAGCAGCCGGACTATGTTACGAAGGCGCACTGGCAAAAAGAGAGTGAGCATGATTGTTGTTCGAGCGCGGGTTGTGACAAGATGCTGAATCTAAAACACGGGAGGCAGAATTGTAGAAAGTATGCTTATTTTTTTTACCTTAATAAATCTTGTATTGTTAGTCAGTATCATATTAAATTCAAATATATATTGAAATTATCATGTTTTATATGTTACATAGATGTGGAAAACTATTTTGCGATTCTCACTGCCAATTGCAAATGCGTTTAAATAAACAGGCACAGCATGATCCAGTTGACGGATTATGGTGTAGAGCGTGTGAAGATTGCTATCAATCGCGAGAGGGATATCTGGATACTCGAGGTAAAAAAGTACTTTTAATTCTTGAAGAATAATTTTTCATCGGTGTTATTAAAGAATAATTTTTATTGGTGTCATTAAACTTTGATTTACAGGTGTTGTCAGAACACATACAGCAGCTTTTGTCAAAGCTCGTCATAAAGGTCTAGAAAAAGCACATTTGGAAGGGAATCGATTGGAGAAAAGACTTGAAAAAGTATATGTCTTAAATAATCGTCTTTATTTTTAAAAACGTTTACTTATTTTGCTTTAGCTTGCTAGATTATATGCAACACCTGCAAAACCTGTCATTTCTGGCAACCCGAGTTTAACTCCTCCATTACCCACCTTGAAACATCGACGAAGAGGTTTGAATATCTCCTAGAATTCTCATTTGATACTATGATAATTAATTAATTTATTATATATAGCTTCTGAACAGTCGATTGTAAAATGGGAGGATGATGCTTCCGTGACAAATTGTCCTATTTGTGGGTGAGTTTTTTCTTATGAAAGAAATTAATTATTTTGGTTATAGTATAACAGGGAAATACATTTCGTGACGATCCTTATAATCTAGAAATTCATTCGGCAAAATTACAAATCGTAAACACCATTGTCGGTTGTGCGGGCGAGTTATCTGTGAAAAATGTTCATCGAAAGTTTCTCTGAATCTAAATAATTGCAGTTCAGGTGTGTTTTTTTTTTCCGGTGATGAATATCGACTTGAATTGTACATAATCTTTCTTAACGTGGTTTTTTAAATCTATTCAGAATCGGAACAAGATTCAGTAGGTGAAGTTCGTGTCTGTCGAGAATGTCGAACTGCAGTATTCAGGCATGTAAAAATATCGTTTTTTCCTCATTTCCAAAAATATATATTTTTAATATTATCGTTATTGAAAATTTTCAAAGGCGTAAAGAATATAATGATGAAATAGCGAAACAACCACATATTGTCTTGCTGTATCAGGTAGATATATAGATTTAGTGTTAAAAGGAAGATTTTTTTATTGGCTGTTATTTGAGGCTTACATAGATAATTTTTATAGAAATTAACGAAAATTCGGTTCGCAATCGATGCTACTTTACCTAAATTTCAGGATATGCTCGATATGTTACAGTAAGGATCTACTTTATATTTTTATAATTTTGAACAACAATTATTAAATACATGTAAATTAATAGGAACAAAGAAATTGTGAATCAGACACATGCAGATTATCAACTTGCAGCTCGAACACGCAAAGAATTACTAGAAAATTTTGCACAATTTGATTCCATCAGTAAAAAAATCAACGCGTTACCAAAAGCGAATGACTCAGAAAAACGTTTCCAATCAAACATTCATCTGGCCGCCAACCAATATCTTCAACAAAACATGTTGCCACTTTCAATGTTACCAAAAATTCTCAAAAATGATCCACAGCAACAAAAATTGACAGAAGACGACGACGACGATGACGAAGAGGACCCCGATTCCCCGGATGCGATTCTTGCCGCTTGGGCTAACGGGCGTCCTCGTTCGTTGTCTGTGTCGTCTGGTCGGTCTATTAAAGGCGAGGAGAAAATCCGACAGCAAGTGGCGGTGTTGGTGGAACAGAAGAAATTAGTCGAGGGTTATATTCAAGAGGCGTCAAAGAAAAGAAAGATTGATGATGTTAAGACATTGAAGGCGTCTCTTGATGAATTAGAAATAGAGATTAATAAAAAGAAGAAAGAACTTGGCGAATTGTGGTGACAGTGATTAATTGCATTCATTCAATTGGTTTTTTTAATTATTTAATAATTAAATTCTCTACGTTTTATAGCTCAACTACTATACTTACCATATATTGATCGATTCACACATCTTATTATATATTAATCGATTCACACACAATCTTGATTGTTGTTACATTTATGTTTTATTTTGTTTATATTCTCAAGAACTTTTGTAGATATGGCACGCACAATTTATTTTTTTAAACCTTGTAAATTAATCCATCTTTCCATCCCTTAACTAACAAATACACACGATTTACTTCTCTTTTATAATATTACTATTACTACTAACTATATATTACCATTTTTGGAATCATACTCGGAGTAATAAGAACTAATATATAATCGATGACGCGAGAAAATAAAAAAATCTTTATAATGCCAAATCAACAAAATGTCCAATGATTAATTATAATATATTATTTTTATGATTAATGGGTGGATTTTAGATTACTATACTGATTTTGTTGCCGATTCAGTAGTCACAATCACTGGTACCTCTAATTGCAACGGCATCAGCATGAACTTATCGAACCTTATTGTCAACACGATTTCATGTTTCACTTCCAAAAATGACGCGTTAGAGTCTGGTTTCATCTTCGTTGTGATTGGAATTTCAAATTTTGCGACAGGCGACGCAGAATCGGTGGTTGTTATTGGTATGGTGAGTGCTGGTGTGATCAGAGGGTTAGTATGATGTGGATTTTGGATTGAAATTGCTGAAAATGCCGGAATTTTGGCTGATGTACGTTTAACCGGCGCTTTACTTGTTCTAAAAATGATAATAATATAGCATATTAATAATATATGAAAAATTTGAGATCAAAGAATATTAAGTAATCTTTACGTTTTACTAGGAGTTGACCCACTACCAGCTGCAGCAACTTTGGCGAAATTGTACATTTCATATTCAAATGCTTCCACTTTGACTTCCTTAACTCCTGTTTTTTCTGCAAGTGACTCAAACGAGGCCTCGACTTCAATTGTACCGCGTGGTTCTGCGGCATCTCCATCTTGTCCCTCGGTATCACTAACTATTAAATACTTTGAAATTAAAACTTTGTATTTCAACAAATTCTCTTTCTCATCTTCCAATACTAATTTCTCATTCGGATCTAGTAACCCATCAGCATTCAAAATCCTTTTTCGTATAATAACATTTTTCGATGTCTTATAAACACCCGGAGGATGTCCAGCTTTGGTAAGTTCCGCGGTTAACACATAACGTATCTGCGCGTGTTTCCCCTCGACTGTAGCAGGTAAGTTCTGCGGCGTCTTTATGATTAGCGCGAACGGGAGGTTTGTCTCCCCGGCAGGATAATTTTTTGTAATATTCACCACAGTAAGTTTTTGTTTTACTAAATCTTTAACGTTAACGTTACGCGTAATTGCTGTTTTCTGGGAATTATCAAACTGCGAATAACCGTGTAACTTTAGGACTATTTGACTTAGTTTCAGTGGAGCAGAAAGGGTAAATGAGATTTTGCCTTTGATAGCTAACGAGGTGGTGCCATCGGGAATTGTTAGACTGGGAGAGGCGAGAACGATTTGACACGAGGTGACTTCTTTTAATTTACTTTCTGTCATAGATATGTTTTATTTGAGAATAATACTGCCAACAGGGATTACAATTTGTTTTTACAAGGTTATTTTCGATTATGTTTATTTAAAGAAATAAAAATACCAAATTGAAAACGTAGAAACGATTTATCGATCCTTCAATGAAACTTTTATTCAATCAATCAACGCTAACAATAACAAATAGACTAGTCCTGATAACGATAATAGTCAATTTTATACCAAATTGAAGTAAATCCAAAACTTGATCCTTCTTTGCTTGCATCTCTGTTGCATAGTTTTAAAATGTCTATTGGTGTTTGTTGTTTTTCGGGGGGTAGAATGTCTTTTGATTAAACAATGACGTATCACTTTTGATCATCCTCAACAATTTCGTTCGTTTTTACCATAAATTTCATAGACTACTACTTTTCAGTCCTAGACTTGGAATTATTCTTTCAACTCAATTTCTGGAATTTATTAGTAAAATGAGTGAAGCTGCTGATTGGGATAAAAAGGTTGTTATTCGTAAGCGTGGAGAGCAGATCAAAGTCACCAAAGGTAGCTCAGCTATAAATGCAGCGCGTAGAGCAGGCGTTGTTGTGGAGACAGAAAGAAAAAGTAAGTTTTATTAATTGCTATAGTTACCTTTAAAAGTTTCACTCTTTCTCTAAATTAATTCATTATATATATATATATTTTTTTTTGACTAATTTGAATATGAAATATGTATTTGAAAGCTACTGGTGGTACAAACAAAGGACACGTAAATGCGGACCATCAACGTATAGCAAAAATAGATCGGGAAAATGAAATTGCACCACCTCCAAAGATTAGTCTATCGGTAGGAAAAGCAATTCAGCAAGCGAGACAAGCTAAAGGTCTTAATCAAAAGGACCTTGGTCAAAAAATCAATGAGAAAGCTAACATTGTAAGTTTTTTTTGTTTTTGTGATTTTCTTGGTTAAATATTATGAACTTTATTTAATTTTGAATTTTTATTTATATCTAGATTAATGATTATGAGATGGGTCGTACTATTCCAAATCAACAAGTTTTGTCGAAACTTGAACGTGTGCTTGGTATCAGATTACGAGGAAAGAACAGTACGTGTGAGATTTATAATTTTTATGTTATTTATATTTTATTTATGTTTATTATTTACCTATTAATTTTTGATTTATAGTCGGTGAAACTCTTACAAAATAAAAACTCAATTGCGGAACAAATCCCAGGTAATGGATAATCAAAAAAAAAAAAAACAATGGTTACCTAACTCTGTTACTACTATTTGGCTACATGCTCGATATATATTTTTTTTGATGTGATGATGTTTTTCTTCTTTACTTCTTTTTTCCTTCTTGCTTGCTTCTTTTATTTGTCTTATGAGTAAGAGTTAAGAGGAAACGGAGATGAAGGTGTATATATTAGGTAGTTTATTTTTATCGGGTGTATGCTTCTTTTGTGTGTTATATTTTTCAAATGTATATTGTAAAGATTACTTTTGGGGTAAAAGTACGCATAAACTTTATATCGTATCCCCAAAGATGCACACACACGTTTTGATATATTTATTACATTGGTATCTTGGTGTAAAATAATAATAATAATAAAGTTAGCTATTAGTTTATTTAGGACATAATTTAGATTTGAGTGTGAGGGTAGTTATTGATATCGTAGCTAATTTTATTTTAAGTTTTGGGAAGTCGGGATTCATTTTTGGACGTGATGATAATAATTACTAAGAATTAAAACGGCATTGATTTTGATGCTGCTGATCATTTATCTTTTGACTGATTTTGTGAATAAGCTGCAATTTTTCTACTGCCGCATTTTCGTTTTTTATATTTAGTGAATTTCCCGAATTTATATTAGAGACTCGATGTAATAAATTTGCCCACCGCCACTGCCTTAATATTTCCCAACTCAGCTATTTTATTGGAGATTTCAATCACTATAAAAATCAAAGATGAAAGGATCTTGCATATTTGAATAAGAAGATGGTGTAAAGTCACGTTTTTATTGGTTAGATAATAATTCTGCAAGAAAGCAACATGTGAACACTCATCCAAGAGAAAAGTGTATTTTTATTTCGGTGTGTGATCATATTGACATCACCAGTAGACCGCCCAAAAAGGCGACATTAAAAGCGGGAACAAAATCAATATCTTAGCCAGAATAGTATTAGTAATAATAATAGCAGAAGCATTATTCGTTGTTTTATACTGCACAATGGTACTATTACTCTCGTCATCATCAAAAAGATTGGTATACAATAATAAGGGTGGATACCGTGCACCTTTTTTCGTAGCGGATTTGTTAAATACCGTGGCCATCTCTTTTATTTTTTTAACGAGTTCGGGTGGTGTGTAGTTCCCTTGGGATAGCAATATTGCCATCACACCTGCGACCTAATAAATGCATGTTATCAATACGTATTTATTGTTAAAAATAAAACGATCGAGACATATTTAACAATTTACGTACGTGTGGGCTGGCCATCGAGGTACCCGACAATACATGGGTAGCAGATTTTGAAGTGTTCCAAATCGAGTTAATGTTTGTCCCTGGCGCATATCTAATAAGATAAAATAAAATCAAATTAAATTAAGTTACGATTACTTATGAATTAAATTAAATTAAAATTAAAATTAAAATTAAAATTAAATTAAATTCAATTAAACTGACATATCAACACAATTTCCGGTATTCGAGTAAGTAGCAATTGTGTCATCAGAGTTTGTAGCACCAACTGTCAATGCGCCTTGCACAGACGCGGGTGAAAATTGACACGCGTCTTTTCCTTCATTTCCGGCTAAAATAAAATATATCAATTAATTAATGATTGATTGATCATTAAAATAAATGTTAAAAAAACTCACCAGCAATCGTGAAATGAATACCCAAAGCCATTGCATTTTTGATAGCTTCGTTTGTTGCTTGACTATATTCAGCACCCAATGACAAACTTTAAGCCAAAAAAAATCAATTTATTAAGTACACGTAATAAAATAAAGATCAATGATGTTACCAACGCGAAACACATACTTTATAATGGTCTTTTTGGTCGTTGAATTATTATGTTGTTTAATGACCCAGTCAATTGCCTGCAACACAACACTCAAACGACCAGATCCATCGGGTTGTAACGCTCGTACGGAAATAATATTTGCTTTTTTGGCCACACCAAAAAATTTACCGGCCAGAACTCCTGCCACAAATGTCCCGTGACCATTTAAATCTCGTTCCTCGCTACGATTACCCAGAAATGCGGTGCCAAATGAGGCTCGACCCTCGAGATCGTTATGTTTTGTGTTTATGCCGCTATTTAGTGAAAAAAAGTATCATTAGTCAAAGATCATTCATTTATTTCATAGGATCAAAAGGGAATAAGAAGGAAGACTCACGTGTCAATCACATAAATATTTACATCTTGGCCACTATTATCTGGGTAATGATATTTATTATCAATCGGAAGGGATTTTTTAGAGATACGAGACAAGCCCCAACTAGGTGTGTTCAATTCGATATTATGATAAGATCTCACCATAATATCTCGTGTGATATATTGGATAACATCACTGGAATTAATTTGATTCAGTGTATGCTCATCAAACACTCCAGCATACCATGCAAATTGTCCGATGGTTGTTAAATTCGAGGCCAAATATGAGCTGATCGATTGATCAGCTGAAACATTTTGAATCCATTTTAAATGTTTGGTGAGTTTTGAGTTTGTGTTGTTATTTTGTTTAACCACTATAATAAATCGATTTTCATCATCATCTGTTGATAGATTATTATTATTATTATAATTGTCGTCGTCGTTGTTGGTTTCTGATGGAGATGCTGAGATTGGCGGTAAATTTGACGGTATTATTGGAGATGGTTTCGAAGGGAATTTATGGATTGTTTCTCCTAATTCGATTACAGAATCTGAATCCTGTCTTTTTGAGTTACTGCTACTACTACTACTACTGCTACCACCACCACCACCACCACCACCAGCAGTAGTATAAATGTGCTTCGTTATTGATTTATCGTTTATTGGAGTTGCAACTGCAAAAGCAACAACAAAACGACAACCATTCTCATCACCACCTATTGACAAAAAGTAAAGTAGATATCCCACAACAATGAAAAACGAGGTAAAATTTATATTCGATATCCACATTGTTTTTAAACTTAAAAATTAATGTTATTAAAATCTATTAAAGAATTGTTTTTTGATCAAACATAATATAAAAGCAAAAAGTTTTATGGTTCAACTTCTAATTATGAAACCTTTCCGTCGTCGTTTCAATCGAAAGTTTCGCACTCAATCAAAAGATACGCGTGTAAGCCGATTTGTTGAATCAGAAAGTCAATTCTCTTTCTTTTTTTATGATCAGTCAAATAATAATACTAATGATATCAGCATGCATAGTGCCCAGCACACACCCAATTATTATTCCAGAGCCGATCGAGCAAATAATTATTGTAGTCGTCTTTCTATTCAATAAAAGCGGTTACCGCAAAGAAATTATATTTGTATGAAGGGAAAAAGGATAAGGATGAATAAGGGGTCACTGTCGCTGTTTGTGATTATGCGGACGTGAAAATTTTGGTTTAGTATGATTGTTGTTATTATTTAATATATGTATGCGATGAAAGAAGCGACCAAAGAAATTAATTTTTTGGAACTTGTCCACAAAAAGAATTAGAGGGATAATGAGCCAAATATATAAAGTACAATCAAAACGAGCGTAAAAGGAAATGAGAAAAAGGCAAAAAATTAAGGAATGTGAAGGCAAAAAGTGTGCGATTAAGGGGAAAGGGAAAGGGAGAGGGATAAGCGAAACAGATGCGTGAATAACGAAAATGTACATTATTTTATTAATTTTAGTATGCTAATGTATTATTACTTTAAATTTAAAATCACATGTTCACTTTTGTTGAATTTAATTAATTCATGTAACGATAATTATAGCACAAGTGAAACTCGATATAAGAGACTCTCGAGATAAGAAGCTTTCTCGAAGTCCCAATTCATTTTGAATGTTGCAATGGTAAGAGTAAACAAATGCTGTTTAAATATTTTTCGTTATAAGTGTAACATATGCTGAATTAATTGCAAATTCAAAAATCGCGTACTACGGTATTAGTTACAAGACAGTATATGTTACATAATGACGTTCACGTGATATTTGATACATAAACTCTGGCGATAGATAACCATCGATTATCTTTAACATTGTCTATCAAGAAAAATGAGCGGCTACAATGTTTTATGGGTTTTTGTAGCTGTATGCGGTGCCTGTTTTACTTGTTATGCGTTGACCCCCAAAGGATTGAATCAGACGTGAGTCTCTAATTTATTGAATTCTAAAAGACTTGACACTTTTCATGTCTGTTTTCGTGTTAATTGACCAAATAAATTCATTTTTTAGAACCATTCGAACCTCGCTTATTCTCTCACTGATATGTTGCTATTTAATGTAAATAAAAAAATGCTTTAACTTTCTGTGAAATTGTAAGCTTCTAATAAATTAACTATTCAATTTTATTTAATGATTATTAGGTGGGCTATCACTTACCTTGCTCAATTGCATCCTCTAATATATCCCAAGAGATCTGATTTACGTGAACATCATGAAGACACATGAACAATTTATTTTGATCATCAAAGAACATTTTTTTCTACAAGTTGTTGTTATTTATTTTTACGAAAAGATAGAAAAGTGGACAAACATGTAGGTGATTTAATTGCGTGATGAGAGAAAGGAACGAGGTTAATTTTTTTGTGTATATTAAATTTTTCGGTTTTTTGTAGGTGGAAGGTAACAGAATTATCATAATAAAAGCAATTTCCACTCTTCTATCTAATAGATCAATGTCGTTATATTTTTTGCTATCATGTACATTGTGTTGGATTGTTTTTGCAATTAGCAAATAAGCAATTAAATCACCATATTTATTTTCTCTTAACTAATACTGTATTCAATGGAAGTCGTCAATAATTTATTGTTCCTTTGTGACTGAGATAGGTGATTCAACCTTTGATTTTCTCGAGAGCCCAATTCGAACACTGCGGGCACTATTAATTCCCGAATTTTTCAATAAATCCCTAAGTGATGTATTATTTCCATAACCTGTATTATAAGAATTAATCTTAATTAAATCTCGGTAAAAAAAATCCTGGAAGAAAAAATATATGTTTATACTTACTAGAACGACTTCTGCTCAATCCTAAATTATTAAAGATAAAATAAAATTTAGAACCAGTTATAATCAGAGTTATGAATATTTTTACACGAATCTTACCGATATTTCGTGCACGAGTGATTGCCCTGTCAACTAAAGATTCATCCTATAATAGTCAAAAATCTCAGTCAGCAACTTTTGCAAGCAATATTCGAGTTTTTTGCAATTTTAAAATTTATTTCTTGGCACATAACCTTTGAAGATGAAGACGACGAAGATGCTCTTTTTGTGACTATTGTGGATGCTGTGCTCACAATGTTTCTATTTAATTTTTTAATACTATTGTTTTTAGTGCATTTTGTTGAAGCCGCCTTTGATTTTTTGGCTAGTTTCTTGGATTTTTTGTCATCATAATCACTATCTTCTTCCTCCGCTTCTTGATTCACATAATCTTCTTCCATATCCTCCTCTGCCTCTGCTTCATCCCCTTCTTCATCCTCTTCATCTTCTTTTTCAGTTACTTCTTCGAGACTTGACTTATCTTCGTCACTACCATTTGATAATGAAGAGGACGATTTAGTTTCGTGAGGCGACGGTATTCTTTGCTTTGGCTTTCCTACTCTATTATTATCTGTGTTTGCCACTGGATTTTGAGCATCGATAAAAGAAGTACTCGGAAGATGACTGTCATTCTTGTCTTCTAAATCATCATGAGGAGGATCACTTAATTCGCCATTAAATATTTCTAACAAGCAATTGTGGTATTATTATAGACCTTATCGAAATTACAAATCGCATCATTAACAAAGTCAAACCTTCTTTATCATATTCTTCCTCCTTAGATAAATCAATAACAATCGGATCATTCAGCCCTGCAGACTCCATTCCAGGTTCTTTTTCTTCTTTTTTCACGGAACCTTTGGTTAGAGACTTTTCTTCCCCGTCTTCCTCGATTGGCAATACATTCTTTTTCCTGTTTGTGCTCAGTTTCTTTGTTTTTTTTACTTCTTCTTGCGGTTTGATATCGACCAAGGCATCTCTTTTGGCGCTTCGTGGTGACTTTCTTTTTGTTGAGAAATCCAGTTCAAAGCGGTCTCCTTCGTCCTCGTGCACTGTCAATTCAAAACGTAAATGTAAATTCTTTGGTTGAGATAAAAATACTTGAAGTTTAAATGCCTGTTTTTTTTTTGGGAGTTCTGTCACTGGACGGAGAGCTGTCAAATTCTTTGTATTCAAAGTCTGTGTAATTAACGTTCTTGCGAGCTCTTTAATAGAAAACGAATGCTAAAAGTTAATAATTTGATAACTTTACGATTTTTATCAAGTTAATTTTAAAGAAATTTATTGCCTTGTTGATCTTCGTGCGGAATCCATTTTCAGTTCAATTCGGTCTTTAGTTTGTTTGGTAGACTTTGTGGTCGTCGTGGAATCTAACGCGTTTTTGGATAAAAATTTGTTTGGGTAACATCAAATTGGATTTAAGAAATTAAGCAACAACGATAATTCAAACCAAAGCACGTGATTAATGAGTCTAATGAAATTCCGGGTCCCTGATGTCAGACTAAAATCTCGGAATTCAAAACTCTCGATATAGTGAATAACGTATTTTGAATTAAAAATCGGATTGACTTATTAGGAAAACTTGTATATACAGTGCATAATGCATGCATGGAAGCTATGGATCTGAGCAATATAATGAGTATATAGTGGGGAGATTTCGAAAAGAAAGAAATCTAAATTTATTATCTTGCGAATTGAGTTGTAGAAATGTAGATCAACCTGATTTTCTTGAAAATTATACATTTAAATTACATTATCAATTTGATATTATTTCCATCATCATCAGGAAGATCATCATTAGGAAGATCATCACTAGATGATGACTTTTTATTATTTATTTCCTCCACCATATTGCGTAATAAACTAGTAACCTTTGCAATATTTTTACGATACTTTGCCGAAACAGGTACAATTAAAAGATCGCGATCAATCTCAGATCCACTATTCCCTTTGATTTTCTCTTCAAAAAGTGGTAAATTCTTTTTCGCAATGTCACCAACATCAGCTTTATTCGCAACAACCATTGAAGGACGCAACGTCAACCCCGTACGATACTTTTCTAACTCGTTCTGCAGCACACGAAAATCTTCCCACGGTCTTTCGGTGGCCAAATCAATCACATACACCAAGACTTTAGACCGTTCCACGTGACGCAAGAACGAGTGACCTAGTCCGATATTTTTGTGTGCACCTTTAATCAGTCCAGGTATATCAGCGATTGTTAATTGGAATTTGTCGTGGTAGTCTACGGTGCCAATGTAGGGATTGAGTGTAGTGAAAGGATAGGGGGCAATTTTTGGGTGTGCATTCGATACAGCTGTCAAAAATGTGCTTTTTCCTGCATTCGGGAGTCCGACTAATCCAGCATCAGCTATCGCTTTCAATTCAAGTACCAGATGTTTTGTTTCTCCTGGTTGTCCTTTAGTTGCAAATTTCGGCGATCGATTTTCATTTGTGAGGAAATACGGATTTCCTTTTCCACCGACTCCCCCTCGAGTTATCAAGTGTTGTTCATCTTCGACGGATAAATCCAATTCTAATTTTTGTTGTCTACTAAATTGTTTTTGTGATCGTTGATGTCGTCTCTCTTCTTCAAGCATTTTCTCAGCCTCCAGGAAAAAAGAACCCAATTGATTTTTGTCCGCGTAATGGGGGTAATGTACCCATGTTTCTTCTCTACGTTTCTCACGTGCTGCCTGTCTATCAATATATAATAATGATGAAATGCTTTCATCATCATCGTCTTCCTTTTTGGATGGTGGATCAACTTCTCGTATAATAGTTCCTAATGGAATTGGTAAAGTTACATCTTTGCCTGCTTTACCATGTTTCAAATCTCCTTTGCCAGGTTCTCCGTGTCCGGCTCTAATTGATCGTGGCAGATAATGTAATGATGTGTGATTACGCGACGCGTAAAATGTCACGTTCCCACCATACCCTCCATTACCTCCAGATGGAGGTCCTTTTGGCATTGTTCTGGAACGAAGAAACGAGACACATCCATCTCCTCCTTTACCTGCCGCTACCGTGACACGTGCAAAATCAACAAAATTCCTTCCCTAAGATTTAACGAAAATTGATTATAATTACGACGATGATGAAGATAGTTATTATTATATAAGTTAACCTTATCTCGTAATTTATAATAAACATTTCTTTCACGTGGTTTTAATACTATTTCACCATCTATTTCTGTAACATCATAAGTTGATTTTTCTTGCTCTTCTGATATCATTCCTACATCATGCTCGCCGATTAATAAAATTGGTTTCTGTTTATTAGTATAATCAGTGTAATCATTATTTTCATCTTCATCTCTATTATCTTCAATTTCTTCAATTTCTTCATTTTCATTTTCATCATCGACATCGATCTTGTTATCATTACTATTATCATTGACATTATTGCTGTTATTGTTATTAATTATGTTAAAATTTCTTTTACTCGGTAGTAATTTATTAAAATATTTCTTAGTATTGTTGCAATTTTTTATCATAAATGAGTGTGAATAAAAAGTTCCATTCTTGGCTTTTAGTGGATAAAATGAATTCGAATTTAAGCGCATGTTCTTTGTGTAAAGCTAAACATCAAATTTTGATCATTTTAACTGTTCTAGAAATAGACAAGGTGATCGACACGTTGAAATGCTATTAACCCAAAGGTCGTCATATATATTATCGTTATTGACGAAGATCCATTGCTCGCCCGATTGATGCCATGTAAAACAAATTGCTACGTATGGCATGTGCACAAGCAAGGAAGAATGGAAAAACCCAGCGAGGAGGCCAGCTATTCTGGAGATAAGTACCAGAAAAGGCTGAACTGGGAAAAAGTGTGATTGTGTGTGTGACTATACAAGGTGTGACTGTATAGAGAGGTACAACTGTATTGATATTGATCACAATATTTAACATTAATTAAATATCCACATTCAGAAGATATCGATATTGTATCGGTATGCCATTATCATTATCCCACAAATATTTTTTAGTAATATATCTCGTGTAAAAGAATTTTATGTAATTAATAATAATAATAATAATAATAATAATAATAATAATACACTGTAGCATTCGTAAATAATAATAATAATAATAATAATAATAATAAGACAATAATAATAATAATCTTTACATGTAGAGACTACGCTGTAGTATTTTTAATAATAATAATTTTAAATAAAATATAAAATAATAACGATAATAGTTCTTTGTTCAGATTATAATGGGTCAGAAATATTTTGCTCGTAAGGAAATCGTCAGTGTATGTGTAACTTTCTGCAAATAACCAATCAATCAACGTAGAAACCTTAATAGACATTATAAAGGGAAAACAGCAACATAATTTTTGTTGTTATAGTTGTTTTGGTGTGAACCAAACACAAATAAATTGACGACAACATATATTTTGCATAAATTTATATATATACATATAAAAACATTATTACTTTACACTACACCTACCTACCTACCTACCTACCTACCTACCTTTATTTACTTGAAACTCGTTCATTTTTTACTTTGGTATTCCAAGGTAGGCTTTTTTTTGTTATTTGAAAGGAAGAAAGACTTGGGTGAGTGGCGCTGGTTTTGACGATGGGTTTACAAAGAATAAGGTTATGCAGTGTAGGTTGATGGCCAAAAACAATCTAGAAGTTGTTCTCGGTCTTCAACAGAGCCAATTCCTATTCAGTTAAATACATACGAAAGTTTGCACACTTTTGTACACACTCTGCATCAGAAAACTAGCGATAGACTGAAAGAACTTCTCTTATACAATCGATGAAATACCCGAAATATTCCTTATATACATTTGATGCAAGATTATTTTGTAGAAAAAGAGGAAAGAAGGGACAAATTCTAATCAAGAGTGGCAAAATAGAATATGCAAATTTCTCTTAATCTAACCAATTTATTATTTTTTTTTTTCAGATTAAACTTAGGATTCTTTCACGCTATCCAATATACACATAGACGACAAAAAGAACCTCAAATCCATATATCCATCTTTCATACATACATACATACACATACAAGCAATCAAACCTTTTTCACTTTTCGATTATCACGTTATAAAATAATTTCTTACAAAACGGAAAAAAATTTTTTTTGATTAACTTCTTTCTTTTCCCTAGAAAATAAATCTTTTCAATCTTTTTACATTTAATTTCCTATTTCCATCATTTTTTATTCTTATTCGCGAATCTACCTCCCAGTAACGACGATAAGAATAAGCTTCGATATCTCAACAATCAATATAATTATTATTAATAATAGTTCATAATGCCTACACCAGTTAAAAATATTTCTGAATACAAATTACAACGTCTCCTTGAACATAATCAACGCCTTCGTGAGCAACTGGATTTGCCAAGGGTGAAGGTTTCGCAGGCTAGCTCAATGTATTTAATCAATGTTTTTTGCTATATGTCAGGTCGTGAATATCATTTCATGTATTAATATATTTCAAATTTGTAGGCTTATTAAATATGTAACAACGACGAAAGATTATCTTGTACCCTCTGTATGGGGATTGCCTGGCCCAGCAGATCCATTTGTCACGAAAAGCAGTGTTTCTTGTGCAGGATGTACAATTATATAAAATATTTTTTTATTTATTAATTTATTGTATCTTATTGCACATCAAAATTTTCTCTTCCTTCTCTTCTGTTATTTATTTCTCGCCCTCATCGCATTCCTTATTGGTTCATACGCATTCAGGATGATCATCCCATTAGATGCCGACCAATAGCGAAACTGACATATTCGCTACTTGATCCTCATCCTACTCTTTTTCAATTACTGGGTGGTCATTCGCTATTTATTCTTCCTAGAAATAACTATTATTAATAATAATGTTAATTGTAATAATGATTATAAACGCGCAAAAGATTTAATTTTCTTTTGATTAAATTGTGACTTTGTTATCCTGTATTAAAACAATGAGAATGAAATCACATTTATATCAAAATCTTATTCTGCTTTTTCTGATTGAACGCGTACAAGTCCTGTGATGTAGATCCGCATAAGTAAATAAAAACAAACGTGATTGGAAGTTAAAATCCCTGATCAAAATAACGCGTTCTTCTTGCGCATATATTTATGCTAAGCATACATACTAAGCATCTAGCCACAACACTAACCAATTCTATCATATTTAAATTATGAAATTTATCAAGGTATCATAAAACACGTATATACATACGTTCACCTCAAAATACAAACATTTTCAGACGTGTTCTGCTCTATATTTTCGATATATATCAAGAACATTTTTTCTATCACCAGCCTGTTACTTGTGCCATTCAACCATATATTTATCGCAAACACGTTCGAATACAATCGGGCTTAAAATTATAATCATTTATTAGACGTGTTCTGACGCGTTCTGCTTTTTTTGATGATAATATCGATATAACAAATAATAAATATTAATTTTTTTTATTTAGCGTTATTCACGGGACCAAACGTTAATATATCAAATGACGTGTTTTAGAAAATTTTTTTAATTTTCTTTTTGACGCACGCTCGGGTATGCACATTTGCGAAGGACGTTAAATTAATTCGATTGTTATTTGCGCGTTTGTGAGATATCCTGCTACGTGTTACTCTTGCATGTAAAATTAAAGATTTCCATTTTAGGGCACAATGTTTTGAGAAATAGAATAGGTTCCAAAAATCTAGATATAGAATAATAGAGATGTAATCCTTTCTTGTTGGCAGCAAAGATAATGAGATATGTGAACTAACGAAAACCCCCTCTTATCCTCTACAGAATTCCATTTATTTATTGTCCTCGATTCCCAAATTAACTTTAAAACAGCAACACTATGGCTCAAGTTCTGTCACCTTCACCGCCACCAAGTGGCACGCGACAAATTGCAGATTTTGTGAAACGGCCAAGTTTCGGTCGTCTAGGCAGACCAACGCGCGTCAGGGCAAACTTTTACCCGGTGGAAATGCTGCCATCTTCGAATATCCACCATTATGATGTCTCTATCACGCCTGATGTACCGAGGCTAAACCGACAAGTTTACGAGACTTTTGTTCGTGTTCATGGTGCAGTGGCGCTTGGAGGCAATAAACCTGTTTATGACGGTATTTTGATCATTTGTTGATCATTTCAAGAGAATTGTTTGTGTGATTCGCGTTTAATGCGTTTTACTATTGTATTGATTAATAAAGGTCGAAAGAATTTATTTGCGGCAAAGAAATTGCCTTTGCAAGACGCATCCACCTATACTGTAAGAATTTTTTCGCGTCAATTTTCAAATAATCATTTGAATTTCATTATTAAAAATTAATTTCTTATTTTTACTGAATAAAGGTAACTTTACCCGAGGAAGGCGGCGGTCCCCAACGAGCAAGACGTCCCCCTAACGACTTTAAAATTACGATCAGAAAAACAAATCAGATCTTAATGCAAGAACTACAAGATTTTTTGCATGGCCGCAGTCGACAAACGCCTGCTTGCTTGACTGGTAAATAGATCAAAATTCGTTTTTTATTTTCTTTTCGTAATCTCACACCGCTTTTTCTTATAATTTTGATAGCTATTATGGCATTGGATATTCTAATCAGACACAAACCTTCTATGTCTTATACTACTGTCGGTCGCTCGTTTTATACATCGGACGGTTCCCAGCTCTTGTATGGCGGAGTCGAAGTATGGCAAGGGTATTATCAATCTGCTCGACCAACCGCTGGAAAAATGATGATAAACGTCGACGTGAGCGCCACTGCTTTCTATGAAGGCGGTCCACTGGTTCCAATTGTTGTTAAGATATTGGGAGGGAGATCTCCCGACGATCTTCGAAGAGGAATCGATGAGCGCGATAGAGTCAAGCTTGAAAAATTCCTAAAGAATTTGAAAATTAGAGTTCATCATCGTGGTGACGCGGTCGCTCATCGTCGATTCCGAATCAGTAAATTGACTGAGAGATCCGCAGGCCAAACTGTATTTCAAATCGATAACGAACCTGTGGATGTGGGAACTTATTTTCAAAGAACTTACAACGTTCGTCTTACGTATCCATTTTTGCCGTGTGTAGTAGTCAGACGAGATACATTTTTACCAATGGAAGTTTGTAGTGTTATTGAGGTATGTATTATTCGTTGTTCGTTATATTTGTTTCATTGATCAATGAATATGTTTATTTGTGTTTAGGGGCAGCGATATTTAAGGAAACTTAATGATAAACAAACGGCAGATATGATCAAGTCTACTTGTCAACCGCCTCATGTCAGAGCAAACAAAATTAATACCGGTTTGCAGATTTTGAACTATCGCGAAAACGAATACTTGAAGGAATTTGGAATGAGGATCGGGGCTGAAATGGTTCAGGTAAATTGAATTTCCTATATTATTGAATGCTTTGATTTCTTAATTACTAATAAATATCTATGAAATTTTTGTTTGTTAGCCACCAGCCAGAATCCTCCCAGTTCCTACCGTAAACTACCATCCCTCTTCTCGCAATCCCTCTTTTCAACCACAAGATGGTGCTTGGAATCTTCGCGATAAAAAAGTGGCCACTGGAACTACTCTTGGGTCATGGGCTGTCATTGTATTTGGATCAGAACGGGAATATCCTCTTCAGTCGGTCAAACATTTTGTGCGGGAACTTGTCATTACATGTGTTGATACTGGGATGGTAAATAAATTTTTTTATCCATAATACTTTACTGAAGTATGCTTATTTGTTTTTGTTAATTAATCAATCGATTGCTGATTTGTTAATATAGAATATTCCCAACAGAGAACCACCAATCTCGTATGCTAATCCCCAAGGCGATATCACCCAAATTTTGAATCTAGCCTGGTTAAACGCGGGAAACACAGCCAAGGCTCAACCTCAATTGCTTTTGTGCATCCTTCCAAATATCGGAGTACCGCTCTACGCCAAGATTAAACGCGTCGGAGATACATCGATTGGTGTCGCTACTCAGTGCTGCCAAAGTAAACATATGCTCGTGGCCAAAAAACAGTATTGCGCCAACATTTGCATCAAGATTAATGTTAAATTGGGAGGAATGAATTCGTTCTTATCACCTGGCAACATTGAATTCGTCGCCGAGAAGCCGACGATTATTATGGGTGCTGACGTGTCACATCCTGGTCCAGGTATAAATAAGTTTGTTTTTTTTTGTCGAATTACGAATTATCAATTCGATACTGTATTTCAAATTTTATTAGGTGAGAAAAAGGCTTCAATCACTTCTGTTTGTGGCTCTATGGACTCCAAAGCTTCACGATATTCCGCAACTACACGCATGCAAGACGCTCGCACCGAAATCATCGCAGATCTCAGTAGTATGGTCAAAGACCTATTGAGGATTTTCTACCAGACTTGCGGAAGAAAACCAGAACGAATTCTTTTCTATCGCGATGGCGTCTCAGAAGGACAATTTAGAGCGGTTTTGGAAAATGAACTGAAAGGAATTAAAGGTATCTAAATCTTGTTTTTAATATGGAAAATTATCAATCTTTCATAAAATTTTTCAATAATTTTTCTTCGATAATAGACGCATGTGGGTCTCTAGAAGAATCCTACAATCCACAAATAACTTTCGTGGTGGTTCAAAAAAGACATCACACACGATTCTTCCCGTTAACGAAAAACGATACAGATCGCACCGGAAATTGTCATAATGGAACCGTGGTCGACGCGATGATCACACATCCTAATGAATATGATTTTTGCAAGTATCAATTTTTTGCCAAAGGTCGAGGAATTTGTTTTCTATAGCTATTCTTTGACTCGCTATTTTATTTATTTAGACCTTCAAAGTCAGGCTGGATTACAAGGAACTTGTCGTCCTTGCCATTATCATGTATTATATGATGAGAATGGATTGGATCCAGACCAGTAAGTTGTTTCTATAATTGTTTTGGAATTTCAATTTGCATACTAATTTTTTTTTCCTTATATACAGTTTGCAGTCACTTTCTTATAATTTATGTTATGTCTACGCACGATGCACCAGATCGGTGTCAATGGTAATTTCGCCATTTTTATTAATTTGATTCCCGATTAATTTTCTTTTTTACTCAATTTACCAACAAAAGGTACCGCCTGTTTACTACGCACACTTAGCCTGCATGCGAACACGCTTCCATTTGCATGAAGCTAATGACTCCTCCGAAACTTCTTCCGCAACTGAAACCGAAGAAGGAGGCCAAAGTATGTTTGTCGCAGTAAGACCCGAGCTTCAAAGGGTACGTCAAAAAAAGAAGTCACAAGTTAGTTTTTTTTAATATAAATGCATCTAATCTCCTCTTTGACGATCAATCCTTTAGGTCATGTATTTCATGTAAGCCAAGAAATTTTCAGCGTATTTTATATATTCTCTAAGCTTGCACAAACACGAAATTTTGACAGTTCCATCTAGTAGCTTTCTAACTTAATAGTATATAGCAATAATATTAATAATAATAATTATTTATTATTATTGGTGTAATATATGTGTAAATATTGTACAATAAAATATTTATTTTTGAACAATGTATTATATTTGGTCATGTCAAATTAAAATAATTATTGAACATAACGACACTCTAAATTATAGGGTTCACAAGAAATGGAACACAGTAAGGATTTCTAGAATTTTTATCCGTTAATATTATTGATCCAAACCAAATAAAAAAGCATATATTTTAAACCTCTAGTAATTTTTTAAAATTAATTTGACATAATTTTGCGTACCAATTTTTCATAAAAATTGGCGAACAGCTTAAAGACATCCAATATTTTTAAAATGCAAAAGATTTTTTATATGAACTTTAAATGTATCAAGTAATGTATTTTAAAGTTTATATATTTTTTGTTGATACAATTTTAAATATGCATTTTTAAAAAATTTAATCACACTTATAACAGATCTGACCAATCATAAGCGCCTTTGATGTGACCAAGCTGTTTGCACCATACGTAGTCGAGATTCGGACCTTCGGGATCTTAAATCTCGATAAATTTTAAGAACATTTTTAATTAGTGGTCCAAATTATGATTTGACAGAAAAAAAGTTGTTCAATGTGAAAAATTTACTAATTGAAAATTTTGAATTAAATCACTCAATGCACAAAAAATGGTTGTCAAATTATTTTAAAAATACTAGGGGTTCGAAGTTTAAAATATAAGGTGGAATAGGGTATTTTGACGAATGGGGTATTGTGGTGGATCAAAAAAAACATGCTTAAAAAACCAATAAAAAAATAAAATATGATAATAATATTGTCAATATATGCTTAAGACTTGTATATATTATAGTTTAAAAAGAAATTGGTAATTTTTTACAATGTTAAAAACATCACAATACCCCATTCGTCAAAATACCCCTTTCACCTTATACTTTTTTATTTTCTTTGGATTAATATTGATGGAGATAAAAATTTTTACCGAGTGTTCCATTTCTTGTGAGAGCCATTGTAACTGTGAAAAAGACGTTATTAAAATCCGTATTCATGAACATCTAGAAAATGAAAATGAAAACTAATACCAATCCATAAGTATTTAATTGAGAGTTTTTTTCCTTATCTCTTTTTGTTCAGTACATATTCTTAGGCATTCAATTAGCAAACCTGAAAGTGAAAAAAAAACTTTGCACCAAGTTCATTCAACCGCAAAAATATTCTGTAGCATTGGAACTCGCCCGAGATCTAATGTTAAGAATTTCCTAATGTTCATTTTTGACACGAATAAAAAATTTATCGTTATTATACATATGCGTCAATTGGTTATTTAATCCTTGGCAGGATTTAGATAGCTTGGAAAAGAACTAATCTCTAAACCACAACGGCACAACATATAACTAAAGAAACTTTTACCAAATTAGAAATTGTTAATTCATTGATTTGATTCAGCTGAAATTGATTAATCAAACAGAAAATAATCCCCTTAATTAATTTTCCCAGAAGAATTATTAATTATTAGAAAAGAAAAAAACTTTAATTGATAAAGACCGAGATAACTTTAGGAATTCGTCGTAATATAATAAGTACATTCTCTTCGAAGTATTGTGTATCAATAGTAGTGACCTCTTGCGCAAAGAATTTAATTCCTAATCATTATTCAGTTTGTTCTTCTTTCACTTGCTTCTCCATGTCATATTCGTGTGTATTCTTTGCACGAAGTTCATCTTCAAAATCTAATGTCATCCATAAATAAATCGGGAAATACTCGACGATTCGTAGGAGAAGGTGGTAATGGTTAATTTTGTTAACTAAAAAGACAAGAGGCTTTCCTGTATTCAGACCGCCTTTCTTTTGAATATCACGTAATAAACCTTTACTAAAATACTTAAGGTGATTATTTAAATTTAATGGTACTGTGGTTTTATTTATCTTATTGAACAGGTTTCATTTGATGAAGACGGTTGATTTTTTTTGCGTTAATCGTAATTGCGTTTATTCATTAGAGACTCAGCTGTATAAAACGTCTGAACAGTGCTGACAATTTACAAATTTTGAATAAGCAATAAATAATATTAACAAATATTGGCAGGTACAAAGACTCCATCGTTATTAACGAAAAAAACACGCTGTATTTAGATGGTTGACTTTAAGATTCAATTTGAACTTTTGCCTATACAGTCAACTCTCTCTATAACGAACTGATGTTTTCTATAGAGCCTACTACTCTTTCTATAACGAACCAATATAAAATTTAAGATTCGTTATATCCAGAGTTCGTTATAAAGGGGTTCGTTATGGGGAGAGTCGATTGTATATCCATTAAACCATATTGCATATCTAATAAATGTTGCTATCATCTCAAATTCTGTACGTAGCAGTAGTCACATATGCTAAAACAAGTATTTTCAATATATTGAAAACAAAAAAGCATCAATCATGCTTACACTTTAGAAATTATTCATTTTTACCTCGTCTATAATAAACTCTTGCTTTGCATCACCTAATGATTTCAACACAACATAATTGATTTCTCTACCTGGTATAAATTTATTTCATCATCTTTCGAAAAGGTACCATGTAAAAACAATGTTTATAAGCATTTTTTATTAGACTGTCAATGCCTTTATTTTCGCTAGACCATTCAGCTTCATAAATTCGTTTGTGACAGTCAAAACAATTATCGTAGTAGTAATCCTTTTGACAATAACAGCATTTACTACAATCATGAATATTGTGAACTGAGTTCACGCTATAAGTGTTTTTATTTTCAAAATGTTAGATTCCACCTTTAATTATTATTTAAAACTTTGAAATAATAGCTAAGATAATAATGATTTACATAAAAAATATTCTTCATATATATATATATAGAACTTTTATTTGTGTAAGTCGATTGCACCAGTATTTTGTTTTATCCATTCGTGTTTGTAAACCAATTTCTATGTTTTAATTAGTTGCACCGAGTTAATTATCCTTTGAATTTTGTTATGAATTGTGTATACACAGTGTTTTCTGTCGAATGGATTCAAATTCTTTCTTTTTTAAACTTGTATTCGAACTAATTAGTAAATTCGAATTTTACAAAATTGATTTTCTTTATTTCAAGGATAAAAAGTCATGTAGATATTCTTTTTTAAATTTTAATGTAATTTGCTTTGAATCACATAACGATAATGATTTCAACGTGGACCACTTAATTTAGTCCAAATTTCAAAATGAATAATTCAAGATTCACAGTGCAATTTTTATTGCTAAATTAATGGGTGAGGTTAAATTAAGCGGTAAATTTTTACAAAATACAGTCAGAGCTCGATTTACCAATGAATCGCTAAAATGCGAATCAAGAATCAAGAGAATATCTATCGCTATACAATCATGAGTATTAATTAAGAAATTTTACATCTTTGTTTTTTAATTCAAATCCCAAAAAGTGGCCGGAATTCTTCTAAAATTGGAAGATCTTGATCATATTGGTAAAGATCGTCTATATCTACGAAAATTTCAGCAAATTTTATCCTTTTCGATTGAACACAATTAAAGTCAACCACTTATATTTATTGAAGTCGTGAGAAAAAAATAATGGGACAAACTTCACAATACTCTTTAACGAATCAACAAGTTGGTGGTGCAAATAGTATCGTTAATAACAATAGTGATTGGCAACGTCAGAATAACGATAGTTCGTTCCCCAATACGAATAATTTTCGCGAGTATCCTGAGCAAATGGCAGAATTTATTAGCAACGAATGCAACAAAAATAGTAATAATATACAAGTAATCGACTACAATTCAAGAAAACAAACAGACTTCGCCTCGTTAAATAATTATTCGAATACGCATGGTGCCTCTGTTTTTTCTTTTTTAACACAGCCTGTGTCAGAAAGACCGAACAGATCAAGTGAACTTAATAATAATGAGGGCGATAGTATTCTTACAAGACGAATTTCATTATCATCGTCAGAAGCAACGATAGACTCTAATAGTCCATTAAGATTATATCGACAGAATATCTCTATAACACCAATGAATTCTCCGCAGAGAACAAATTATCATCAAACGCCAATCGATAATGATGATGCGCAACAACAACAACCACCATCACAATCGTCTTTCTCTAATACAAAATCAGAGCCTAGTACAAATGCTCCAAAGAGAATAAAGATTGATAAAGCTGAAAGAATGGAGTCACGTATCGCGGAAAATAAATATGATGTAGAGGCTTGGCTATCTTTGCTTGGGGAAGTATTGGCGAGAGATGATACAGATAAAGTTAGGGGAACTTTTCAAAGATATTTGCAATTGTTTCCGGCATCGGTAAGTGATGAGTGTTTTTGGATGGATCGGTTTCTTTTATTTATGTATAGAATTTCTTTAAAAAAAATGAAATAAATTTTGGGTTTTTGGTGTCAAATCAATTGTAAGCGGGATCGACGAGAATATTGTGCATTATGGTATAGCACTGCATACAGTATTCTTTAGGGGTGATGAATGCAGTGAGGTACTAAAATTTAGAGTCTTAAATGACTTTAATTTGCTGGATGGAATTTGATGTTATCGTGTTTGTATAATGAAGATAATGAATTCACTTCATATAATTACAACCATGATGGTTGCATGGTAATCTTGATTTTCATTTTGTAGTCGCGACAATGGATGCAATATGTGGAATTCGAATTGAAACATAACAATTACAGACAAGCCGAGGAAACACTGAAACGCAGTCTACGTTCTGTGCTCTCTATTGATCTATGGAAATACTATTTGAATTATGTGCGTCGAATGAATGGTGGTGATCCGAATTCCTCAATGACTCCTAAAACACGAAAAACTATTGAAGCTACATACGAATTTGTATTGGGTCATATTGGTTTGGATATGGCAGCTGGAACATTGTGGGTTGATTATTTGTTCTTTCTGAAAATCGCGGAAACAAACAATTCATGGGAGGAACAGTATAAAGTGGATCAAATGCGAAAGGTGTTTAAGAGGGCAACTAGTATTCCTATACATAATGTAGAGCATATTTGGAAAGATTATGATGCATTTGAAAATGATGTCAATAAGCAAACGGTAATTTTTATTATCAATTATAAAAATCTATTTCCGATTTTAATATTTCATTTTATAGGCTAGAAAGTTCTTGCAAGAGAGTTCTCCGTTTTATATGACAGCGCGTTCTGCCTTAAAAGAATTACGCGGATTTATGGATGAAATAAATAGAACTACTATTCCAATACCACCGAAATGGGAGGAAGCTGAATTACAGCAAGTATGTAAATATGAAATCTTATCTAATATGATAGCGATAATAAATAAATTATACAATTTGATTTAATTTAGTTGGATGCATGGAAACGATGGATAGCATGGGAGAAGTCTAATCCTTTAGCGTTTGAGGATAAGACGCGTTTAGTACAGAGAGTGAAATACGCATATAAGCAAGCGATGATATACATGCGACATTACCCCGAAATATGGTAAAATATATTGTAATCTATTTTCTTTCATTAACTCTCGCTTACTGGAAAAATCTAGGTATGAAGCATCCAATTATTGGATTGAGAATGGAAAGGAAGAAGAAACGGCAAATATTCTAAAGACTGCCATGGAAATTATGCCCACTAGGTTGATTTCAACATAATATGATTATGTATATTTCCTCATGACAACTAGATATTCAATATAATCTGTTTTTAGCTTTCTGGTACATTTCGCCTACGCTGAGCTGCAAGAAAGACGTCAAAAGCTACCCGAAGTACAAAAATGTCTCGAAACCCTTCTGAATAACCTCGCAGAACAAATTAAAAATATCGAGCAAGCGGCAACAGATGAAATCGATTCCTTGACAAAATCGGCCTTAGAAGGACCCGAGGGAGGGACATCTTCATCTGCCGCTCTAATGGATGGGGAAATGCGAGAACAATTGCGAATAAAAGAAAAAGAGAGAGAGAAGGAACGGGCAAAGATAGAATCTAGAAAAAGGCAGGAAATTGAAGAGATTACTCGTGGATGCTCGACAGTTTGGACTATGCTGATACACTTCAAGAGGCGAGCTGAAGTATGTATTTATGTAAATCCCAATTTTCAAGTTTTTATTGATTCTTATACTATTAATAGGGAGTAGATGCTTCCCGTGGTATGTTTAGTAAAGCGCGAAAGTATCCTTATTGCTCATATCATATCTTTATAGCTGCTGGTAAATTTTTATGTGCTTCTTTGTAAATACATTTAACTGTTAAATTAATATATTTTCATTCATATAATCGATACAAATCAGCCTGGATGGAATATCATTGCAATAAAGATCATAAAGTTGCAGGAAACATTTTTGAATTGGGCCTAAGATCTTATGGTGGCAAACCTGAATATGTGATCGAATACCTTGACTTTTTGATAAAGCTGAACGATGATAAAAGTTAATTTTATTAATTTTTCGTAATAATGATTTTCTCGAGAAAACGAGTTTTTAAAATTATTTTACTGTTGAATAGACGCGCGAGCCCTTTTTGAGCGCGCACTTTTAACTGTACCAGTAGAAAAAGCAAATCTCATATGGGACAAATACTGTGAGTTCGAGAATTATTACGGCGATATTGAATCTATTCGGAAAATTGAACAACGAAGAGCGGAGAAATATCCCGATGGTAAGATGTTTTTGTGTTGTATCTTTTTTTAGTTAATAATTATAAATTTCATTATCCTCTATATTTACAGAATCACCTGTTATTCGCTTTGCCCAAAGGCATAGTTATTTTAACACTAATATAATTTTTAGTCAAGAAATCGGTTCCGGAAGTAAGTTATTAGCAATTACTGCTTTGAAAAAATAATATTTTTTAATTCTTTATTTTCTTTAAAATAGAAGGTCGAATCGATACTCGCTCCTCAACACCACCACCAGAAAAGACTGTTCAAATTTCCAAATCACAAGAAGAAGATTCTTCAGATCGCAGGAAATTATTGGAATCTGTGTACCCTGACAGATACCCTCGGCCCGACTTTCGAAAATGGGTCTCGTACAAACCCAGCGCAGATCTGCCGAGTCGACCCTCCGGAACGCGGAGTCAAGGTTTGGGTCGACCAACAGAGACATCCTTTATACCTGCTCAGAAACAAACACAACCACCAGCGCAAGTAACGTGGAAGCAGGCACAAAATGGCATGATTTTGCCGGAGGCGGTTGTAAACTTATTGGGAACACTGCCTCCGCCATTTTTATTTCAGGGTAAGTAGCATACATTTATATAAATTCTTTTAAAACTTTTATTTAGTTTTTCTCCTTCCAGGGCCATTTGTCAACACCATAGAGTTAACAGAGGTGATGCGTACGATGAAAGTGGAAGGAGGGAGTCAAGCTCGAGGGGGAGTAGCAATGGGTTTTGGTGAGGAGGGAAGCTATGCGGAGAATCCAAGGGGAGGAGGATATGGTGGAAGTGGGAGAGTAAGAGGCGGTGGGTTTGGCAAGCAGAGAAGGGTATGTATTTTTCCGAAATCAACTAAAACAACTAAAATTTACGATAATAGTAAAATATTTATAATAGGATGGTCAGGTAGGAGGAGGGCGAGTCGGTGCAGGAGGGAAACGGCGAAGAAGAGCTTTTGAGGAGGAGGAAACTGACGCAGGGAGTGGTAAGAGAACATATTCTCTTTTTTATCGTTCAATCAAAAAGTTGAAGGCTATTAATCTTTTTTTTATAGGTGGCCTTGGTATAAATCAACCACCTGAACACGATTTATTCAGAGAGCGGCAACAAAAACGCGCTCGTGCCATGTAAATTTGGATTTGGCAATGATGAAGCGCCATAAAATTTAATTTTAACGATGACAACGAATGTGTCTTGTTTGAATTCCAAATTATTAATGTGGTGTCAGTCACAGGACATGTCTTTACTCATTTCTAATAATCTTTAATTTCAATCTTAAAAATCTTCAAGTAGATTCTGTTTTTTATATATTTCATTCCAAATGTCTCGAATGCTTCATAGAAGCAATGTTCAGGGGTATTACATCGACTAACGAAACATGTTAATCCAGTTTTTTGAGTAGAGGATAAATAAACAGTTACGTCCAACAACAGCCAATTTTCTAATCGCGTTTTATAGTTACCACATCGTATTCCAATTTTATAATCTAGCCAGATTTCTGTCCATTTAAAGATTAGAAGCCACACTCAAGAATTATGATGAATCTAATACATAATGCACTCGTTGTCAAAATAATTGACTAATAAAAAATGAATATTTTCCACCTTTTAAGTGGACAAACTTTCAAAACTGGGATCACGAAGAATCATTTCGTGCTTCAAAGCAGATTACATTAGAATTTATAAACGAGGTAATTTAAGCAAGATATTTTAAAAACTAGTCATGACTTTAGATCTCGGAGGATGCTTGGCAAAAAAGATCGATGTGATACCTCCCGAACTTTTAAAACTCCTCAAGATTACAGGTAAACGGTTTGCTTTTTCTTTAGCCTTTTGCCTTCCAGGCATGATTTTGAAGCACAAAGTTATCGAATTTTTTCCGGCGGCCGGAATCTCGGATACCATTGCCGATCAAAAGTCGTGTGATCAATACTATAAATAAGCCGGACGCGTGAATTTCTTTTTCCTCCAACGACCATTAGGTTGTGTCAACTTCTGAAAATAATAAGATTGTCTTGAAGTTTATAAAACGCATTACGAGTACTTCTAGACTTCTTAAAAAACTACTACTGAGTAAACTTTTAGCAGACCAAAAAAATGTAATACTGAGGAGTTCTTTAAGGTAAACACTAGTTTTCGCTAAAATACTTTACACAGAACTTTTATGATACTAGGGTATACATACCCATCCTAGGGCTACGCACCTTTTGACATGAGCAGTATTGTCACGGGACATAGTAGGGACGGACATAGAAAATGTACAATACTGCCCATGAGCATACAAACCGACAAGTTGTAAAAGCGTGTTAGGATATACTATGTGTGTCTTGCAGTTCTTATTTACAGGAACTACAGGGAAACGGGGAAACAAGTTGAGAGTCACCTCGTTTTGAGAATTAATAAATAAATAAATTCTCGTAGATATTCAATTCTATAAATTATATTACTTTTATTAGTGTCTTCCTAAATGTGTATAAAAGCCTGTGTAACTCAGCCAATGAATGAATGTTTTCGCACGCTAACAACTATGTATACAAAAGAAACTTTATGGTTAGTTTGCTACCAGGGCTCGATTTAATGTTTCCAAATCACTATCGCTTAAAATTGCGATGTCTATTAGTATTAGCATTCATCGGTAAATCGAGTCCTGACTGTATACGCCTCATGATTAAATCGAGTCCTGACTGTATACGCCTCATGGTTAAATCGATTATTACCGACCGCCACGATAAGGTGGAGCACTTCGATCAGGGAAAAGTTCAATATACACATTACTGTAGCATATGTAAATAATAATCAGGTATTCTAAAATGGGGATCTTTGATATTCGTTATTAACTGCGACAAAACGCTATTTCATTAAAATGAATTTTATCATAAAGAATAAGTTGCATTACTTTATATTACTAAAAAAGAATTTGATAACCCTATTATAAGCGTGTATTTGAAGCAATACACTAACAGCTTACCGTTTTTTGTTCCGATTTCGGTTTTTATTAATTATTTATATTTTAAGAAAATTTCTTAACAAAACAAGATCTGCTTTTGTATAAATGATGAAAGCGTGTGTTAATGTAAAAATTAATACAAAGACAAACTTGATAAACCGACTATTGGTAGAAAATTTGAAAAGTTCGGTTTATCCAGGGTTTAACTAGTGCTCGAATTGTTAAGGTTCGGTTTACCCGGGTTGCCTTTGTATGTATAATAATCGAATCAAAAAATAAATAATTAAAGAACGAATTTGACTCATTTACATGAAGAAGTGAGAAAATAAAAAATAAATAAATTGACAAAAAAATTGTAAAAATAAAAAAATCCACAACCTTTCTTGCTTTTTTTCATCTCTCATTGTTTACCAATGTTCAGAAAATAAACAGCGATTCTATTCAATCATCATAATCCACCATTCACAACTTAACTTCTTTTCCTTCCTTATTTTTCAAATCAAAAAGCTCTCACCACAACCACAACAAAAGTCCATCATTTAGCCTCAACTACCTCCAAAAAATTAAATAACTACAACAAAAGAGATCACTACAAGAAGTATTGTCCAACACCAACTCTCGCCGGGATATTACGTTCCTGATCAGGAACCGCATTAAACAGCTTGAAACTGCTCTCGTCAACTTTCAAATCTTCGTTAATCTGCATAATCGAGGCGACGTTTCCACATCGATAGCAGTAATTTGGGGCGGACCATACAGTTACAAGATTATCTTCTGGAAAAGCGTATTTGTATCCTTCTTGTACTAGTTGATGTGCACGTGCAATCAGAACAAGTCCATTTACGTAATTAAACTAATAAATATTTTTATGTAATAATAATTAATTGGAGGGTTTTTTGCGAGAGGTTTTTTCATATTGGATTGTTACCTCGTTTGTAACTTTGGCGCCAAATAACCAGCCAGCTCCACGCGGACTAACAGCCCATGTGTCAATATGTTCTTCGGGGTCAGACCACATCAAATCTAAAAAAAAACTTATTATATCAGCCAAAATAAAAAAAAATAAAAAATTGTACGAAAATTTTCCAAGTACCACAAAATGCACCCTCGTGTGGAATTTCTTGTGATCGTGGTATTGTCCGTATTTGATCTAACGTTCGAACTTCTGGTGATAACCCACCATGCACGCATAATACTTTGCCATCGACAATCTAACATACAAATAACAATTTGTTAATATATACAACAATTTATCAATAACAAGTAGAAAGATAATCTACTCACAGCAGCCAGCGTTAAATAATCAAACACCTGACAACAATATTTCCATACATTAGCATTTCCATATTTATTCTGACATTCATCTAACCAAGAATAAAAAGAAATATTCAATCTTATAAATCATCATCGTTATTTTTATTATTGCCATTACTTATTTTGTTAACTAAATATCTATCTCTCTATACATATATTGTGGTTAAAAACACAATAACTCACCATAAAACCCATAAACCTGTGTAATCTGCCGACTTTCGTGATTGCCTCGTAATAATGTTATTTTATCGGGATATCTTTTTTTAAAAGGTAAAAAATTTTCTTTAATTTTCAGTCTAAATTGTCTCAATTAAAACTTCAAAATAAATCATACCTTGCTTTCAATGCCATCAGTAGGGTAAACGTTTCTAGACTATAATATCCGCGATCTACGAAATCACCCTTGAAATATGAATTAAAAAATTGATAAATTAATTCCAAAACGACTTTGATAATAAAAGTATTAATTCCCGTATCTATAAATATAAGTTGTAAGATTGAAAAAAATTTATCATAAAAATTCACAAACCATAAATATATAATGCGTATCAGGAATTTCGCCACCGACACGAAACAACTCTAACAGATCATAAAACTGTCCATGAATATCACCGCATACTGTCACCGGTGTATTTACAGGCTGTATATTCGACTCTTCTAAAAGTAATTCTTTAACCTGTTGGTTTTGAAAAATGTCGTTAATACACTTAACATGAGGTAAAAGATTTCTTACAAAGTAATTTCTACATTATTATCGAGATGCAAAAACCGTTTTCGTTTCCATACACATACCATTTCACATAACTGTTTAATATCAGATTCATGTAAATACTGACATTTTTTTATTGTAGCCAGCCACTCGTCGGGTGTTCCCATTACAATTAATATTATATAGTATACAGTATACAGTAGTATACAGTAAACAGTGAAGTTGAAGAGTTGAAAATACACAAACGATATGCACACGTGCTTTGGAAATTTGAATTATAATTTCCGTGTATCTAGTACGTGTACCATGCAACATTCAGTTTTCCATTCAGTTTTCCGAGTTGTTTATCGTAAGATATAGGAAAAATGGCCTCTCATGTAGTCGTATTGCTTGGTGCGGGTAAAAGACAACAAGTGAAGACGACCCCGATGATGCCTTTAAAACAGGTCGTTAAAACTGTATGCGAGAAACAAGGCTATACAGCCGAGAATTATGGGCTAAAGTAATTAAAGTTTTTGACTGATATTACATAACTCCACAATATCATACGTGCTTCGTTTTTAACTTAATTTACGGGATAAAAGGCTCAACAAAAATATCCTCGATCTTTCACTTACTGTTCGATATGCAAATCTTGCACCTGGCGCAAAATTAGAAATGATTCGAGTTGGCGCGTCAAAAGGTCTTTATTCTCTTTAGCTGTATTGTAATGATGTTAGAATTGTTTTCCAGACCGATTGATTTTGTGTTATTAAATATAGCTCTGCGTGAAGTTACTATTGCACTTCAGATGGAAGATGGCTTTCGAATAATTCACACATTTCCTGTTACTACTTCACTCTGGGATATATTGATTTACTTTGAGAGTAACTTTCAAGCCGGGTATCATCAATTTCAATAATAGTCCATATTAATATATTTCTTGAAAATCCTGACATTTCTTTTTTACAAAAAGATCTTTGAATCTCACTACACGAGTTGCCCCTTCGCCAACGTCAGAGAAAAAGCTCTTTAAGAAATTTATCAAGAAAAATAACACTAATGTTCCCCTTTTTTATCAGCAACCAGTTTGCTTGCTATTAAATCAAGAGGTATTTTCGTTTATTTCATTCTTTTATTTCTCTAATGCTGCTGATTTTAATTTGTCTATTTATTATTGCTGGCAGTACGCGACAAAAGCAGTACTCCAATCGACTACGCTTCAATCTGCCGGAATAACTACAGGGAATGCTGTATTGCGGGTCACGTTTAGACATACCGAGCTTAGTCTAGAAGGAGCATTGGCAACACAGGAAACATTATCTGTTACAACTGATACTTCTGCTGCTACCACTGTTAATACCACCACTGCTGATGCATCAATACCTTCAGGATCTGAAGAAGAATCAAAGCTTACAGATCCGAATCTGGGGAAGGAAGTAATGGAAGATGTTAGAACTTCAGTGCAGTCAGAAGAAATCCCACCTGTTATAGCAACTACGGTTGCTGCTGCTACCATTGTTAACACTGCTGATACATCAATACCTTCAGAATCTGAAGAAAGATCAAAACTTACAGATCCGAATCGGAGGAATGAAGTAATGGAAGATATTAGAACTTCAGTGCAGTCAGAAGAACAAGAATCTATAACATCTGCTACACATGAAAAACCATCGCAGAACATAATTCCTCCAATATCTATATCACCTGAAATTGTTACTGAGAAAGCTGAATTGAAGGAGGATAAAGATGTTGAATTAAGTGTATCAGAAAGGCTTAAATCGATGGAAGTCAATAATGCAAAGGTAGAAATAAATGAGACCGAAGATAGAATTTCAGTGCCGCTGAAGGTAGAGTCTATACAACCAGAGGCTACTAAAGACATCCCGGGTGAACCTATGGAATTGGATAATTCATCAATATCAGAACCTCAAGCATCAAAAATTTCTGCCACGCAATCAACAAACGTGGAGTCAGTGGTTTTCAATAGAGATATTAAAATATTCAATCCACCACCTAATAATGTATCGATAACACAAAGTACATATTTTTTGATTGAATAGCACCCTATTTGAAATTTGTTAGTTTAATTTGCTGTTCAATTATTATATAGTTGATCTTCCAGACTCTTTTTACGAATTAACTGCGGCTGAGATACAACACCTTTTGGCAATGCAAAAATCCAAGCGTCTCAAAGATGAAAACGCCGGGTTCAAGACGAGTGCTGTACGAGAACAAGAAGAAAAAGCCAAAGAAAAAAAATACCCAAAGGTATGTTGTAAGAAAGAGACAAAGTTATGCTTTTGATTTTGTTTTGTGGTTATTATCGCTGCTGCAAGTTAATGACGAATTAAAATTTGACGTTATGTAGACAATGATCCGTGTGCGATTCCCGGATCGATTTCAGCTACAGGCAACCTTCTTGTCCAAAGAAAAAGGTTATATTTATATTGGGTTTTTTTTGTTTATTATTATTATTATTATTATTATTATTTTCTATTGCTATTATTATTATTATTATTATTATTATTATTATTATTATTATTATTATTATTATTATTATTATTATTATTATTATTATTTAACGAATTTCTATCTAAATATTTCTGTTACAGTATCTGAACTCTACAAGTTTGTAAGGGAATCTTTACGAACTCCGGAGCGCCCATTTTATTTAAGTAAGTTGTTATTTTGATTTTTCGCGCTAGAAATGATATTTGATCTCTGACTTTTATTATTAAATCATAGATACAAGCCCACCGAAAAATGTACTTTCAGATCAAGAGATAAATTTATATGACGCGAAATTATCTCCTGCTTCGGTAGTGCACTTTAGTTGGGCAGAGAAATTCGATATTCCTGGTGAGTATAATATATTTGTTATGATTTTCAAAATTAATTATTAGAAATCACATTTATTTACACACATTGAATCTTAGAGCCTCCATATTTGATCGACAATCTGTTGGTATTAGCTGAAGATTTTATGACAACTACCGGCACTGTCGAAACAACCAATGTAGCGGAGGGATCATCATCAGGAAAACGTGTTACTGAATATAATGGCGGTGATCATCTTTCCGAACCTTCCAGTCGTAAAAGTCTGGAAGTATATGCAGATAGAAAAAAAATATCAGATTCTGGGGAAAGTAGCAGTGCTGGTGCATCCTCGTCGGCTTCTAGCAGAAAGATTCCGAAATGGTTCAAATTTGGGTGAGCTTATGTTCATGTATATAATTATCGCGCGGTTTTCTACTGATGATAAACTCACTAAAAATGAAACTTTCGTTCTAGGCAAAATAAAGGTAATAAAGATTAATTATTATAAAGTAAGAATAAAAACAAGATGAAATGGTGTCTAGATCTCGAGTAATACGTGTTTATTATTTAGATTGATGATGATAATAATAATAGAATAAATCTATTTAATTTAATGTTACACATATTATTAAATAAAAAATAATTGTTCCAGCAACTCTTAACAATATGTTTTCGGCTTGTTCAAAATTACTATATATACTCGCATCGCTATTAACTTAACAACCTCTTCACGACTTCGGATATACGTTTTTTAGGCGCACGACTCGGATCAAGTTTAACTTCTTTCATAACACGACCAAGATCTTTAACGCTAGATGCGCCAACACTACTTAACACTTTTTTCACTTCGTCTTCGATCTCCTGATCTGACAATTGTGGTGGTAAGTAAGTTTGCAGAATCTCGAGTTCTGTTTGTTCGGCTGATGCGAGATCTGTGCGATTTGCAGCCGAGTATTGGTCGATTGATTCTTGACGACGTTTTATGGCACGTTGAATTATTGTGCAGATGTCTGCGTCAGTTGATGGGATTGTGTTTGTGGAGTTGGCTGATTTGCTTGCGTATGTGATGTCTGACAGAAGGCCCTAATTTTTAAATTGTGAGTTGACGATTGTCGATTTTTTTTATTGGAATTAGATAGAATTTACCTTTACGACGTTTAATTTTCCTTTATCTTTGCTACGCATCGCATCTTTAATGTCACTTTTTATTTTTGCGAGTAATGGAAGTACCCGTGGTTCTGACAATATTGAAGAAAGCTCTGTTGTTGTTACTGCTTTATCAAAAATCAAAATCAATCGTTGAAACTGAATTATGCGTGATATTAATTAATCAACCTTCTTGTACTGTCGTCGAATAAGATCTTAGATTATGATGCGCAAAGCAGGATGATAATAATAAAGAGAAATTAAACTTTACTGAAGATATCTTGGGTTTTTTCGTAACATTATTATTGATAGTTAAAGCAGTAATAGGTAAAACGCGACGAGATAAAACGTACATGTTTTTTTTGATTTTGTGGTGGTACGTGAATCACTGAAAAAGAAGTCAGTCACGTGCTATGAGAACTCTTCGAACTCACCAAAAAGTCTGGCTCGGGTTTGGTTCAAACATCGAATCTTTTTCGAACTCAAGCCAAAGTCTGGTTCGAGTTCAGTTCGATTTTGAACCAGACTCGAACCTAGGCAAAAGTCTGGTTCGGTTCGGTTCATAGGAACACTAACTTCTCAGAGTTGAAGTATAATTACGATTAGTGCTAATAAATTGCGGAATTGCACATCGTAATTAACATAAGAAAAATAAAATACTCATGTTAAATTTGCAAATCAGAATATCAATACTTTTTTATTAATGGTTGATAGGTAAAATGAAAAGCAAAGTGCCTTTATATTAAAATACATTTGTGAATTTACAAGCATAAATCTATATGAATTAAACCTTCTGTTTTTTTCCTGGTGAATGCTCTGTAAAAAAAATTTTTGAACATATCAGATAAAAAACCTGGTTTTACTTTAGCAAAAATCCATTTTTATTGCCAGAGTAAAAACAGTTTTTAAAAGATTCAACATACTTTCATTTTTTTTACTGGATAAAAAATGGATCTATACAAGAAATCTGATTTTACTTTAACAAAGATTCATTTTTATTGCCAGAGTAAAAACAATTTTTAAAAGATCTGATATACTTTCATTTTTTTTACTGGATAAAAAATGGATTTATACAAGAAATCCAGTTTACTTTAATAAAAATCTGTTTTTAAAAGATTTAACATAGTTTTGTTTTTTATTTCATAAAAAAAATGAATTTTTATTAATAATACTTTTTATTTATCAGTATATATTACATGATTTTCTTGATCTATTATATAATTTCTATTTTTAACAATTGAAAAAAACTGATAGATCTAGTTATAGTATTGTCACCATTTTCAGAGTCATTACCTATGATGATATTTCTGAAATATAATAAGTGACTGTGTTCAATTGAAAGATCAGATTACTGAACTATCAAAACTTATAATTTAAATATCAAATATTAAAATAAT